TGTATTAGAATCTTTACTTGCTTCAATTTTATTTGTTTGATGTTTTTGGGAGGAGAGGGCTTTCCCTTTTAGGTTGGAAACTACCTGGTGTTTCCTTTTTGCCATTTACTGACTCTGTCATTAAATGTTTCTGGTTTCCATTTCTGCTTTGAATTGGCAGAGAAACCAGACGGCACTCACTGCTTCCTGATACTTTGTAGAGTTATCTGGGTAGCCTGTTCCTGGCATGTCCACAGGTATAGTTTCAGTATTTTCTTTTTTGAGTGAACATGGCAGGGTAAAGATTCCTCTTTGGTTAACTGAGGTCTGTTTCTTTGTTTTCTACTCTTGGCATTTCTCACTGATATATGGCTCATCTTGCCAGCTGTGAAAAGCCCTGCCTATCTGACACACAGCAATGCTGTTGCTAGACAATTCTGAATCTTACACCTGACACTGATCTCTTGTTGAGAACATAGAGGTCACCTGTTCATTGCTGGTAGTGATCCCTCATCTCACTGTAGACACAGTTGCCTTGTACAGACAGATCAAGTTTGGTCTCCATTCTCTGTCTGCATTGCATTTTGGTACCTAGTCATTCAGAGTAAGCAAAGAGGCAGAATTCCTTTGACTTAAATTACACATGTCACCCACTTGAATGACTGTGTGTCTGGTTTTATGGTGCCAGGATTATGTATTAGAAGTAGAAGCAAAAGAAGGAAGTTTAGAAATTAATCCATTAACCCCTCCACCACGCTTTGAAGAGCCAGCTTTTTTTACAGAGGTAGAATAATATATCTGTGGACTATTTTAACCTTACAAATACATTTAGTTAAGGTGTTTGCTTGTAAAGGCACTACTCTGCCACTCTGGCATCATGAGAATGTGCAAGATCTAAATTATGAATCCCTATTCTAAAGAATAATCCTGTCCTTTTTGTGGATTCAACCATGAGACTTCTGACACTTAGAAAATAAGCTTTTCAGATTGAGTTCTCTGGAGGCCGGCAGGGTAAAGGGTGAGTCTGTTCCTGTTTTATCAAGACAAAAGCTCTTCTTCCCAAAGTGTAGATGTGTAGGTCATGGGATTCTTTGAGTTGGCTTGTGGTCAGATAAGATTCAAAATGCACTATTTAGATAGGAAGTTCATGGGCCATTTGCTGCTGGTTCCCTTTCCCCTTGAACCCCAAAAGGACTTCTTTGAAATTTAATGTTATTTTTGGTAAGTCTCAGTACAGAAATGGTATCAAACACTTATTCAGTAATATTCTTTCTATATGCTGGATTGTCAGCTATAAGAAAATCTCATCTTCAGAATTAAAAGTGTGTATTTTTCTGTGAAGATGTCACTCTCAACTATTGGGGATGATAGCCCATGTGAGCTATCATCCCCAATAGTATACTTCTTAGCATAAAAGGAATAGCTAAAATGCCTGGATGATCCAAAACAGTGCATTTACCACATTGGTGGGTTGCCTATAAAAGAGTTCTATTCAAAATTACTTTCA